AAATGACTCTCTTTCAGATTACTGGGGAGTATCTACGCCAGGGGAATAAATACAGAGAATAATCTATAAATTGGACAAGAGGGAAGAGAATTAGTGGCTAATAGGGCTTCTCATGAGGGCTAAAAGTAAAGCCTTTCTCAAAACCTCTGAGTACATTCTCTGGACATGTTGCAGTCTTGAGTGTTGCAAAGCACAAGCTGTTGTGATCAGAGGTCTAGAAATGGCCATTCAGCCAGTATTTTTTAGGTCCCTACTATATGTCAGGAGTTGTGCTAAATAGACCAGATATGTGAGAAGAGGGTTAAAAAGGCTATGACATTAACAAGTAAATAGTTCAGTTGTTTATTACTGTGTTAAGTGTTTTGAGGGAAATTAATCGGGTACCTTGGGAGAAGAGGTCTGAAAAGGCTTTGGAATAGGTTGTTTGAACAGAGGCCTAAAGGGTAATTGGGGCTATGGACTATTTTTGTGCCGTGCATCTCTTTGGATGTCTATGGGGGTCTGTAATGTTCCACTTAGAAAACACAGAATTACACAGGGAATCTGTTATTGAATGCCTATCAAAATATTGAAAAAATAAATGTGTGGTTAGTAATATAGGTGTTTCTTTGTGAAGTGCATTAAATACCAAAATCTAATGGCAACCTAAAAACTACTATAATTTCAAACAGTGATGGCTGCAACCATTATAGTGAGATATGAAAATATTTGATTCCTATTGGTAATGAATTCCTAAATACCCTTCCTACTACTGGTGGGTTCTTTTTTGCCACCATTCATAATTGAAGGAAAGGCTAAATTTCAATTAGCAAGTTAGTGAAGATGAAGATGTAACTTTCTCCACATCCAAGTTTGCAAGAACCTCTAAATTCTATCCATGGACCCCAGGTTAACTGCTGGATTAAATGGAGCCAGTGGGAGAGGGGAGAGTAGGGTAAAGGCTTTAAAGGAGGAGGGACAGTGAGTGAGGAAGCTCCAAAATTTTAGGGTAAATGTACCCCCTGAGTGTGAAATAAGACAATCACTAACAGATGAAGCTGGTAAACCCATTTAAGAGACAGTTGGGAAAGTATTAACACTGAAACAAAATAGATGACATTAAGGAATTATTGGGGGAGGGTTTAGGTACAATTGGAATTGTGGTTAAAATTAAAAGCGTTATCTTTTAGAAATATGTAAATATGTATACTTGGATTAAATGTCTTAGATGTGTTTTAAAAATAATTGAAGATGAAGAGTGTAGAAGAGATGAAACAGGATTACTATTGATAATTATTAAAACTGGATGATGGGTAGATGGGGATTCATTAAGTCATTTTCTCTGCATTCATATAGGTTTGAAATTATCCATAATAGAAAGTTTTAATATGCAATAGATAAGATTAGCCATCTGTAGAGAGTCAGTATTTGGGTGAACTAAAAGTTAGGAAGAAGCACTTGAGGTTAAGGTAACTGGTATGTAATTTCAGGGGATTATGATTCTAAAAATGTATCAGCATATAACATGGTAAGAATGCTGCTGTGATACAGTTGATATATAGCCTAATCTTAGTGAGTAACTGCAACTAAACTAAGTCCTAAGAAGGAAAATGGTAAGATTAAGCTTAAGAATTATTGTTTATCCAAGCGAATGAATCCTTCTATCTCCCAGACCCAGGAGAAAGACACTGGGGGAGGGGAGACTTCCAGGATTTTCCACTTGTACTAACAACACCTGAGTTTTGACTAAAAATGCAGAATCCTGGCTTTACCCTAATCTCACTGAATGAGAATTTTAAGGGAAAGGACCCAGGTTCCTATATGTATTTCAGTAAATCCTCAAATGAATCTTAGCACACTTAAAGTTTGAAAAATGGAACTGTAGATAAAGATAACAATAGCTGCCTCTTGTCTTTTTGAGCAGTTATTTTATATGCCAGATACCATGCTGAACCCTTTACATCTATTCATCTCACAGCACTCTTATGAAGTAGGTGATAATTTAACCTCACCGTAGAAAAATTAAGTTACTTGCCGAAAGTCACCCAGTTAGAAATGGCAAAAATGGGACCTCAAACCAAAGTTTGATCCCAAAGCCTGTGCTTTTAACTACTATATCGCTGCCTCCCATCGGGCCATGTATTTTCTCTGAACCTTTGCCCACAAAGGCTTCTGTGGAAATTGGCTTCTCACCTCCCCTCTATGGGGCGTATGTGTCCTACAGAGGATAGGAGTATTTCAGTCACTGGGCAGGAACAGCTCCTGTTGTAAACTAATATTTAGTGCATTGTGGATCGGTCCCAAAGAATACTTGAGACATGACAAAAAGAACTTGGAAAATTTCTGCAACCATTATATATATTCCTGTGATTCTAAACCTTTTTTCCAATCCAGTATTCCTAAGAGATTGACACATTGCTGTTCTGCTATGACATTGCTAGCCAGAGGACAAGATTAAGGGCACCCTCCTGCAGTCCTGAAAAGGCTTCCCCCAGGAGACTCAATGGTTGGTGTCCCAGGGACCAAGAGAGCTGGTGGAGCAGGGGGAGTGAAGAGTAAGCACAGACTTCACAGGGCCCATGTGCTATGCTGCTTATCTCATTTCATTAGCACCTACAAGGTAGGTCCAAACCGATTTACAGCCTCTTTTTTTCAATTCCAAACTCAAAGGCTTATAAAACAAGATTTTTTTTTTTTAAGTTTGAAGCAAAAATGGGGGTGGGGTGGAACAACAAACCTTGATCTGAACTGATGTGAGACTATTTGTAATCATTCATACTTTTTTAAAAAAGATTTTATTTATTTACTTTTAGAGAGAGGAAGGAGAGGAGAAAGAGAGGGAAAGAAACATCAAGCTGTGGTTGTCTCTCTTGCGCCCCCTACTGGGGACCTGGCCCACAACCCAGGCATGTGCCCTAACTAGACTGGGAATCGAACTGACAACCCTTTGGTTCACAGACCAGCACTCAATCGACTGGGCCACACCAGCCAGGGCTGTGCATACTTTTTGTTGCAGAAATATTAATTCTTAATTACAGGGTGCTACCCAGACCTCACTGGGGTGTTATAAAGTGTCTGTGTGTGTGTGTGTGTATGTGTGTGTGGATTGTGCCATGTTGTCTTTCTAAACTATAAAGAGTTTTCCAAAACACTTTTGACCCCGAGAATTTAGATGAGAAAGTTGAAGTTATGAGAGCTGTTTCTCTCAACACATTGCTTCCAAGTTATGTAACCAGATTTGAAAAAAGGCCATGTTTGTTTTTATCGGCTCTGCCACAATGCTGTTTAAAGAGCTCATTGAGATCATTTATCCTATTATTTGAAAAGTTGGTTAGCTTTGCAAATATTTGTATAGTTGTGTAAAAAACCTCAAGAAGCCCTGGCCAGGTAGCTTAGTTGGTTGGAGCGTTATCCCATACGCCAAATGTTGTGGGTTTGATCCCAATCAGGGGACATAATTAGGTTGTGGGTTCAATCCCTGGTTGGGGTACTTAGAGGAGGCAACTGATCAGTGTTTCTCACATTGATGTTTCTCTTTCTCTAAAATCAATAAACATATCCTCAGGTGAGAATTTTTTTTTTAAAAGCCTCAAGAAAAGTATCTTTAAAGTTATACCTTTGGTCTGTTACCATTTGGTCATTGGTGATGCCTCAGACTTACCTTTTATTCTTCTTTCCAGAGAAATATTATGAATATTTCATCTGAAATATATGCTGTTTCAGTGTCTTCAGGTGGAGTTGAGTAGGAAATCAAAGTAACTTAACAGTGAGGCATTAGGCTGTGATTATTGTCTTTGCCCTTGGCCATTTAGAAAGCAGTATTAGCAGCACAAAAATAATCTGGTGAGTTTTTCATGAAAAATGATTATGGCGATAACATTCTCACAGAATTAAAAATAACATGAGTCTTTGAATAATAAACTAAAATATCGCTTTCTGGTTAAGTCAATATTATCCCCACCTCTTTTTTTCCCACCACAAAGGCTCACTTAGAGAAAAAAATAACTTTTTCAAGTGAAAAATCATCTGAAATCCTCCACATTAGGATTTTTTCTTTCTGTAAAATATGAAACTTTTGCTTAAACCTTAATTTTGTGTTCCATGCTTTTTCTCTTGTGGAATCATCATCTCTCACTAAATTTCCCTGTTGAATGTTAATTTTTATGCATGTTATGTGCTTTGTAGGATTTGATCAACCTCAGTGATACACAGGGTGTTGGTAAGCACTAGGGGAACTAAGCATATAAAGCATGGCCTGTACTCACTTCCTGTCAGGACAGGTAGTTCAATTGGGATTTAAAGTTCTTCTTTTCATAAAATAAACCTGTGATATTGTGAGTATAATAAAAATTACATACTTACTCTTTGTTCCCAGTTCCTGATACAGAACTCATAAAACCGTTGGAATTTCCTGACTGATAGGATGAGGACTGGTTGCCAGAAGAAAGCTATAACTCTCAGCCCAGCTCTAGCCTCTGGGGACGGGACAGGGACTGGAGATTGGCAATGATTTAATCAGTCATACCTATATACTGAGTCTTCAATAAAACTGAAATGAGGCTGAGGGAGTTTCTGGGTTGGTGAACACACTGATGCGTGAGAGGGTGGTACATCTGGAGAGGGCATGGAAGCTCTTCCACCCCCCAACCTACTGTCTTGCCCAGTGCATCTCTTCCAGTTGGCTCTTCCTGAGTTGATACCTTTATAAATAAACCAGTAAATGTAAATAAAGTCACTTCCTGAGTTCTGCGAGTTGTTGTAGCAAATTATTGAACCTGAAGGGAGGTCATGGGAACCCCCAAATTATAGCCAGTTAGCTGGAAGTACAGGTGGCTCTTGGGACTTGAAACTGGCATCTAAAGTAGGAGGAGTTTTGTGGGACTGAACCCTCACGGCTTGTGGGGGTCACTAACTCCAGGGAGTTCCTGTCAGAATTGCATTGCATGACACCTGGTGGTGCTAGAAGGCAGCAGGTATCATTTGTTTAGTGTATAACTGATTGCAACTACCTTCTCTTACAGTACCTGACCAAGCAGGTGGAGCTTCTGCGGCAGATGAATGAGCAGCATGCGAAGGTTTATGAGCAGTTAGATGTCACAGCAAGGGAACTGGAAGAAACAAATCAAAAGCTTGTTGCTGACAGCAAAGCCTCACAGCAGAAGATTCTGAGGTAAACTTTCTAGAATCCATCAAGGAGGCCCTGGGCAGGAGTCATTGAGTATAAACTAGAATAGAGCATGGCTGTGTGGGTTTGGGTCAGTATGGGATAAGGTTTTGTTTAATTCTCTATGAAGAATAGAGAATTCTTCAACAATCCTTTCCAGTTAAGAAAGCCCAGTTTGAGTGGCTGACAGCTAATCTCTCCCCCTGTTATGCCTTCAATTTCATATGACAAGCAGCAGTCAGCCTCTCTCTGTATCTTACAGTCTGACTGAAACAATCGAGTGCCTGCAAGCCAACATCGATCACCTCCAGAGCCAAGTGGAAGAGTTGAAGTCATCTAGCCAAGGAAGGAGGAGCCAGGGAAAGTGTGACCAGAAGTCAGCACCCAGCTTCTCACGTCTGAAAGAGCTCTATGACTTGCGCCAGTAAGAGCCCACGTTCCATAGCATGTCCTGGCAGAGGTGTCTCCACACAGATGCCATCTGCATTCCTATAGCTTCAAAGCACATTTAAGAAATGCCACTTGGCTATTAGAGCAGAGCCACTTAAACATGCAAATTATACAGTTCTTGGGTATTAGTTATTCCATGAAAAATTATTTTCTAAAGTCTTGGGAGCATTTATTTCCATGCTTTTAATGTGCTTAAATCTTAGTTTAAAATAAGATGCAGTACTTCTGATAAACCACAAATTTGGGGGTTGTATTTCACATTAGAGTGAAGAAAAAATTGAAATTTCAGTAAAACAAAAACCCTAGAGAATGGTTTTTGCGCCTACAGAAATGCCTTTACAATTTAGTTATGCGATTGAATTTCTATTTAATAACTATTTATTGAGCACTTGTGTGTCAGGTGTTGTGCTGGACATGAGAAATATTGAGGAAAACAGACACAGTTCCTGCCCTCCCTCATGGGGCTTTCCATCCTGTTAGAGGCAGGTGAGCACATTGTCACATAGGACCCTGAACAGGAAAAGAGGCCAGCTCTGTGTTTACTGGGTCTCACCATTGGCTTGCTTGGTTCATCAGCTCACCTGAGGAGTTTTTCCAACCGCAATACACACGGATTCCCTCAGGCCTACATCACAATCTCTGAGTGTGGGCAAAAAGCTACCAGGTGATTCTGATGTGCATTCCTGGTTAAAAATCACTGCAACAATGGTTCTCAGCCTTGGCTGCATATTATAAACCACATGGAGAGCTTGGAAAACCCCCAAGTCCAGGCGGCAGACCAGCTAGGCCAGAATCTTGGGGGTGAGGGGACTCAGAGGGTGGGACCCAGGAGTCAATAATTTTTAGGACTACCCTGGAGAATCTTATCTAACCAAGGCCAGAGACCACTGGGCCACTCCGATTCTTTGGAGGGGTAGCAATGGACTGCTCATCTTTGGGAATAGGTGTTCTAGAGCACATTTGACATTTAAGAAAAATTAGTCTCAAAGATTGTTTTCAAGCATGTTTTTTTGCCCACATCACACAATTTAGTTTTACCCACTGCTCTAGTGAGAAATAGGCAAAAATTCGGTCCCAGCAACACTGAAAGGAAAAGAGATCAACAGAGACAAGAGGGAAGGAGGGAGGGGGGACGGGGATAAGGAAGGGAATGGGAAAGTCAAGGAACATATAGCAAGGACTCATGGACAAAACCAAAGGGGAAGAGCTGAGGGAGGGAAGGAGGGAGGGGGCAAGGGAAAGTGGTGGGGGGTAGGCAGAGACAAATGTATTTGAAAAAAAAAAATCAGTCCCTGTCAGAGCTCCTTGAAAATATTTAGCTGGAAAAAAAAAAAATGACTACTCTTCTGCTCTTCATTCTCAGTCAACCTGTGTAATATATTCTGTCCACATTTTTTCTAGACACTTCGTGTATGACCACGTGTTTGCGGAAAAGATCACTTCCTTGCCAAGTCAGCCAAGCCCTGAGGAAGAGGAGAACAAGCACTTGAAGAAGGCAGTGAGGACACTGCAAGCACAGCTGAGCCTGGAGCGGCAGAGGCGGGGGGGCCTGGAGGAGGAGTATGGGCTTGTGCTGAGGGAGAACACTGAGCTGCAGCAGCAGCTGGGGGCCGCCAGCATCTACCAGGCCCGGGTGCTGGAGCTGGAGGCTGAAGTGGCTGAAATGCGGCACGTCCTGCAGTCGGAGCGTCCCTTCGTGAATGGGGTCGAGAAGCTGGTGCCCGACTCCCTATTTGTCCCTTTCAAGGAGCCTGACCAGAGCCTGCTGGAGGAGATGCTGCTGACAGTGCCTGAGGCCCAGCGGAGGCCCCTCAAGCGCAGCAGCAGTGAGACAGTACTCAGTAGCTTGGCAGGCAGTGACATTGTGAAGGGTCACGAGGAGACATGCATCCGGAGGTCCAAGGCTGTGAAGCAGAGGGGCGTGTCCCTGCTGCATGAAGTGGACACTCAGTATAGTGCCCTGAAGGCGAAGTATGAGGAGCTGCTGCGGAAGTGCCAGCAGGACGGGGACTCACTGTCCCACAAGGCTGTACAGACTGCCAGGGCTCCGGCTAGGGACCCAGCTGCGAGGGACTCAGCTGCCAGGGACCCGACCACCACTGGCACCCCTGAACCTGCTGGTTCCCCCAGCAGCACGCCGCCTCCTGAATACAAAGTGCTCTTTAAGGAGATATTCAGCTGCATCCAAAAGACAAAGCAGGAGATCCAGGAGCAGAGAATGAAATTTCGCTCTCTCCCCTCTCCTTCCTAATGGGGCCTCAGCTCCCCTGCTCATTTCCTGTCTCCATTACCCCTCTCCCATTCAGATAAGCATTTGTAGAGCCCAAAGCCTGAAGCTGCTCAACATGCTTTGCTTACTTAGCAAGCGTGTTAATGTACAGCGAGGAAAGAGTCTGATGGCTCCTGGTATCAGTTCCCTAACCCAGTTCCCTTTAAGCTCTTCAGGAAGTCCTATGACAAACTGGCCTCTAGCTGGCGCGCTGATTAGGCTGCCATTCCACAAGAAGCCCCAGAAGTAGGGGTGGCAGAATTATGCTCCTGGAGAGGTAGGCCTGGAGTTTTCATAGGATGTAGTTATGTATATACAGTGTATAGTATATCCTGGAAAAGGCGAGGTTGAAACGAAGCTAAGGCAATCCCTGCTGTCTTCTTGCTTAACTGCTTGAAACTGTGGAAGTCAGCCGCCACCTGAACCATCTTCACAGTGTTGGATACTGTGAATTCATTAAGAACATTCAGGAGAAAGTAGGGGTCTAATCCAAAGAAACAGTATTAACAAATACTCCACAACTTTGAGTTTCATTTGCTACCAGTCAACTGTGACAGGTAATCCTAGCAGATCTAAACCCACAGAGCACCCCCCTGAAAGGTGAGCTCTGCTTGAACAGAGTTAACCTATCAGCTCCAAGGGCCTCCATTCCACACCCAAATGTCTTCACGCAAAGCACAGTGGTTAGGATAGCTGAATACACACATCTTTTCATTCTTAAAATTCAAAGGGGACAAACCTCACCTGTGCTGTCTGACCCAGATGACCTGTTCAGTTCCTGCTATTCCTGTCAGTGGTTTGACTTGGCTGCCAGAATTCCCATCTGCTGCTTTATTGAACAGTATTGGCATTCTAACAGTGGATATAGACTCCTTGTACTTGCATACATTAATTTAAAACTATTTAAGAGAACTGAGGATCCAGTAATTGTATATATTTTTCTAAAAAGCAAATAAAGCTACCTATGAAAACGAACAAATGGATCTATTGCTTATTATTTTAAGCTTAAGCCACTTCACTGTTATAACCAATTGTTCACTCTTTTTACTTCCAGTGATATCTCTAGGAAGATTTGATAGTGATTCTTTTTTCCATTTCTTTTAAGTAGACTCTTGAGATTGTATAATAGCACCAATTCTCAGATGGACAAGTATTGGTTAAAATTACTGTATGATTGAAAGACATTTTTAAATTTATGTACTCTAATTTTTCACTATTTTAGTAGTGTCAGACTTGGTTTCAAATTAATAGCATTTGACAAGTTGATTCTCAAAACATTTGCTCATTCAATTATAGGAAAGAAACTACAGCGTTCAAACACTGAACATTGAATCTAAATTAGTTTTGCTTTTGGATTATTTAAATTTTAAAAATGTGGGTTAAGATATTATTCAAACAGAGGGTTTATAAAGTTGGTTATCTTGTCTTCCCTGACCTCCCAACCCATCTCCCCAAAATCAACTAGTTGTGCTGCTTGTATATTCTTCCAGAATACTTTCTGTACACGTTAGTACATGAGTATGTTTATATGACCCATATTTTAAACAAGAGTATCTTCTGTACTGCATCTGCCATTTTTACTAAACCGTGTATCTTTGAAATTATGTATCTTTATCAGACCATCTACATTCTTTATGGTAGCTGCATAGTACTCCAGTACACACACATGCTCCCTGGTGGGTAGATTGTCTCTAATCTTTGCTACTATGAAAAAAAATCTGTAATGAAATATAATCTTTGTTCCTTTTTGTCTTGACAATTCTTCAATCCATCTAAATTATTTTTTTTGTATTTATTATGGTAAAAATACACATAGTATAACAAACTTAATTATCTTTAAGTCTACAGTTCAGTGGTAGTAAATACATTCACATTTTTGTGCAGCCATCACCATCCATCCCCACCCATAATTCTCTTCACCTTTAAAACGGAAATCCTTTCCCCATTAAATAGTAACTCCCCATTCTCCCCTTCACCCAGTCCCTGGCAACTACCATTCTACTCTGTCTTTATGAATTTAACTAAGTACCTCATATGAGTGAAATAAAACAGCATTTGTCTTTTTGTGGTTGCTTTATTTCACTTAGCATAATGACCTTGTGGTTCACCCATGTTGTAGCATGTTGCAGAATTTCCTTTTTAAGGGTGAATAATATTCCATTGTATGTACGTACTACATATTGTTTGTTCATCCATCAGTGGATACTTGAGTTGCTTCCATGTTTTAACTATTGTGATGAATGTTACTGTGAACATTTTTACAAATATTTGACAACCTGATTTCAGTTTTTCTGAGCATATACCCAGAAGTGGAATTGCAGGATCATATGGTGGTTCCATTTTTAATTTTTTGAGGAACCTCCATGCTGTTTTCCACATTGGCTGTACCACCTTACATTCCCACCAACAGTGCACAAGGATTCTAATTTCTTCACATCTTTGCCAGTACATTTTGGTTTTTTGATAGTAGCCATTCTAATGGGTGTGAGATGGTATCTCATTGTAGTTTTGATTTTTATTTCCCTAATGATTAGTGTTGTTGAGCACATTTTCATATACTCGTTGGTCATTTGTATACCTTTTTGGATAAATGTTTGTTCAAATCTTCTGCCCAGTTTTGAATCAGCTTGTTTTCTTGTTGAGTTATAGTTCTCCATATAGTCTGGATATTAATCCCTTATCAGATAATATGATTGGCAAATATTTTCCTCCATTCAGTGGGTTGCCATTTTACTCTATTGATAGCATCTTTTTCATGCATACACTTTTCTTAATTATAAGAGTTTCAGTGTTTTAGGTCTTATATTGAGGTCTTTGATCCACCTTGAGTTCATTTTTTTTATCCGATGTTAGGTAAGGGTCCAACTTCATTCTTTAGTATGTGGATGTCCACTTTTCCTGGCACCATTTGTTGAAAAGACTCTTCTTTCCCCCACTGAATGGTCTTGGGAGCCTTATCAAAAATCATTCGACAATATATGTGAGAGCATATTCATGGCCTCACTATACTATTCCATTGGTCTGTACGCCAGTACCACAATGTTTTTGTTCCTGTAGCTTTATAATAATGTTTTGAAAAAAGGGTGAGTCCTCCAGTTTTGTTCTCTTTTTCAAGACTTTTGTCACCTAACCGGAGTGGCTTAGTTGGTTGGGCATCATCTCACAAAGCGAAAGGTCACTGGTTTGATTCCTCGTCAGGATACATGACTGAGTTGTGGGTTCAGCCCCCAGGCATGCAAGGGTGCATGCAAAAGGCTACTGTCAATGTTTATCTCCCTCCCTTTCTCCTTTCCCCTCTATAAGTAAATCAAATCTTTTTTTTAAATTTTTAAATCATGTTTATTCTATTACGTGTTGTCTCTATTTTCCCCCCTTTGCCTCCTCCACCATCCCATTCCTACCCCCCGCCCCCACTCTCACAGTCAGTTCCCACACTGTTGTCCATGTCCATGGGTCATTCATACATGTTCTTGGTCCAGTCCCTTCCCCTTCTTTCCACCATTGTCCTCTTTCCCCATCCCCTCTGGTCATTTTCAGTTTGCTCCATGTTTCCATGCCTGTGGTTTATTTTGTTCATTATTTTCTCAAATAGTTCGCACTTATAGGTGAGATCATATGGTATTTGTCTTCTACCAACTGGCTTATTTCACTTAGCATAATATTCTCCAGTTCCATCCATGTTGTTGCAAAAAGTAGGAGTTCTTTCTTTTTTTAAATGCAGATTTTATTTATTTTTAAATATCAAAATCCATTATAAAATAGTAAAAATTTTAAATCCATTTTAAAGTCTCTGCAATTGAAACAGCATGACACCAGCACAGAAATAAGTAGATCAATGAAATATAGTGAGCACTCTAAAAACAGATATATCTGTCTAACAATGTAATATATGATTAAATGGATATTTCAACTCCATGAGTAAAATAAGGCTTATTCAACAAATAAGGTGCATGGACCACTATTACTTGAAATAAAACAAATATAGAGCCCTATTTCACACATTATATAAGAAATATTCAGGTGAGTTAAAAATCAATATGTAAAATCTAACAAGTTTTAGGAGAAAATACAAAATATTTTTCTTATCCTGAAGTAAAATAGTCAAACCCAGAAGCTATAAAATAAAAAATTGACAATATGGCTATTAAATATTTAAGACTATACAGTAATATACATATAAAAAAAGTTAAAGGATCAGTAATAGAATAGAAAATATTTGCAACACATCTGAAAAAGGGTTAATAGTTGTGTTTTTTATTGTTTTAGGGAAAAATTTTACAAACATTTAATCAAAATGGGTAAAGAATACCAAAAATCATTTAAAACTTTTTAAAACAATAGAAATAGGCAAGAAATATACAAAAAACACGTTTAGTTTCAACAAATAAAGGAACAATGAAAATAACATCATCGTCACAAACATTAAAAATATTGGTAACATCAAGTATTGGTGACTGTGAAAAAAGAATATATTAAGAAGAAAGAAAGAAAATCAAATATTTTTTAAAAAGAAATTTCGCCCTGGCTGGTGTGGCTCAGGGGCTTGAGTGCTGGCCTATGAACCAAAGGGTCACCAGTTTGATTCCCAGTCAGGGTACATGTCTGGTTTGTGGGCCAGGTCCCAAGTGGTGGGGCACGTAAGAGGCAACCATACATTGATGTTTCTCTCCCTCTGTTCTCTCTATAAAAGTAAAATCTTATTTAAAATTTAAAAATTTTTTAAAAAAGAAGTTAGAAAAGATTGTTTTGGACTTTCAGTCAAGATAGAGGCATAGGTAAACACAGCCTGCCTCCTTGCACAACCACATTAAAATTACAGCTAAACTGTAGAATAACCATCACTCAGACCTATCAGAAATCAAGCTGAATGGAAGTCTGACAATTATGGAATTAAACAACATCCATCCAGACTGGTAGGAGAGGAGGAAACACAGAACAGGCTTGTCTCACATCCATGTGTGGTGGATAAAAAATAGGGAGGGTTAACTTGGGAGTGGGGAGTTCTAGCCACACCCCAGGACTTCCAGCCCAGGGTTCCAGTGCCAGGAAGATAAGTCCCCACAATTTCTGGCTGCAAAAACCAGCAATGATTGAGTCGATGGGAGAAACTTCTAGAGTCCCAAGCACTTCCTATGAAAAAACCCACACACAGGCTTAGACTCTCTCCCTCTGAGATCCAGCACCAGGGTAGCAGCTTGAAAGGCACCAGTGGCATACAGAGAGGAACTGAAGTGTCTGGCATCAAGGCAAGAGCTGGGGGACAGCTTTCTCCCAGACAGAAAGGTGAGCAGAGGTCACTGTCCTTTATCTGAAACTTCCCCCCAAAGAGCCACAGAGCTTGCAATCTGGTGCCATGTCTGAGACTCCATCAACCTGCCTAATACTGTTTGCCCTGTCTTGGAGATCCTCTGAGGCTCTGTCCCACCCAACTTATAGGTCCACCAAGGCTGTTAAGTGGCTTTCCCATATGATTGGCTGGCCTTGACTCATGCTTTACAACTTTCTAAATCGTCTCAAACAAGCAACAGCCAGTGTAAATGAGACCCCAGCCCCCATACCTCTTTCTGAGTGGCCCCAGGACTGTCATTGGCAGAAACCAGCCTAGGTTCACAGTTTGGCTTCACCTCATAGGGATGCTATGAAGAGGAGAGGAAGAGCAAGAAATTGGAAATCTATTTGAAAAAATAATGAAAGAAAACTTCCCTAATTTGATGAAGGAAATAGACATGCAAGTCCAGGAAGCACAGAGAGGCCCAAACAACATGGATGCAAAGAGGCCCACTCCAAGACACATCATAATTAAAATGCCAAAGGTTAAAGATAAAGAGAGAACCTTGTCAGGAATCAAGAAGGTGGAGGGGTGAATGAAAGTCACACTGACCTCCTCCCAGGACCAATCTGGAATTACAACT